AGAGCTTTTTATTTTGTAATTCAAAATTTACCTCAACATATAAACTTGAAAGTGACGATGGTGTATACGTGGTACATAATGAAACACATTTCGTATTAAGAGCAAGTATTGCTGCAGTTTGTGCTGATGGATTGGCCGCGCATCAGTTATTAGGATTTTTAAGTCCCTCTGCTAAACATTTTTGTAGACTTTGCTTGATCAACAGAGATGACTTTAAAAATAATAGAAATTTAAAAGATGTAACTTTGCGTACGAAACAACTACATGACGAACAAATAATAGAAATAAATAATCAACAAACATTAAAAGAAATTAATAGTTTAAAAAAAGTCAGGTATTCTGGAAGATAGTGCATTACATTCTTCTCGCTACTTTCATTGTACAAATAATTTGGTCTTTGACCCTATGCACGATATTTTTGAAGGTATCGCACCAATGATGGAGTTGAAATTAATTTTACACTATTATAGTATGTGTGATTATAACTTCAAAATAGATGTGTTCAACAACAGAGTAAATTTATTTCGATATGGTTTTCCAGAAAATAAAAATAAACCTTCTGCAAATTTTTCTTCAACTTCTATTAAATATCAAAAGGATTACAAGCTTTCACAAATTGCTGTACAAACATGGTGTTTATTAAGAGTTTTTCCTTTCTTAGTTTCAGATTTAGTACCTGAAAATGATAAGCATTTATCGTTAATTTTACTATTAAACAGAATAAACGAAATAGTATTTGCTCCAAAATTGAGACGCTCTATTTTACCATATTTAGCAGAACTAATCGAAGAACACAATTGTTTATTCCGAGAATTATTTCCAGCTATAGCTCCAATTAATAAGCATCATCATTTAACTCATTACCCTCAGTGTATATCTTTTTCTGGTCCTTTACGTTGGTTAAATTGTTTAAGATTTGAAGCGAAACATAATTTTTTAAAAAGTATGGATCTATTGTATGTAATTTTAAAAATATTACGAAAACGTTAACAAACTATTGCCAATTAGATCAATGCGCAGTTTGGGGTACTAATGAAGAACCACGAATCAAATTAAAGTATGTTAACGGACGAAAAACTTATGTTGAAAATACATATTGTAGACAGCAGTTAAATCAAATGAAATATCAGGACAAAGACACAATTATTGAAGTTAATAAGGTGGAGGTTTACAGTACAGAGTATCGAAAAGGTTTATTTGTTGCTATTAACAGTGGAGTACAAGAAAATAGTGAAATTACTTTTGGTTGTATTAAAAAATTAATAATACTAAAAAATGATCAGCTTTGGTTATGGTGTGAAGAATGGCAATGTCTTGATTATAACGAATCATTAAATGCTTACCGTGTAGCTCAAAATACAGGTTCATATACATTTGTAAATACTGATGAGTTATGCGATCTAAAACCATTTGCATTATGGTCTGATTTTACGAATAATTTTTCTTATATAGTCCTTCATCATATGTTATTATAAAAGCACCTTACAATTATATCTTGTACATAAAATCAATTAATTTTTCTAACTTTTATCAATATATTTCCTACATACATTATACGCAAAAATTTTCCATTTAAATGAATAACTATGTGTATATTGCTTTAAATATCGCTGTAAATTTTCAAAATCATATTACGGATGATATGGAGATCTGAAGATAACATCAGAGCATAGTCAGTACATGTCCACGCTGTATCTTTTATTAAATTGCTTTAATTTTTTTCAAATAAATTTGTTCTTGATAAAAATTATATGTCAACTCAATGTTTTAGACGAAGCAGTCGATGATTATGCTTTCATGGCGTTAACAGAAACTGATTTAAAAGAAATTAATATTAAAAATGGTCCAAGAAAAAGAATATTAAGTTTAATTAATAATCACAATAAAGTGGTAAGCGCAAAGATGATTTTTGTATTTAGTATAACTTGTTAATGATAAAGGTGAATGAAAGCTTATATAAAACACGGGTTTTATTTCAGGAAGTTGTATTAATCCAGAACGAAGAACACAGCAATGTGAATGTACAAAGTAAAGAAGAAAATACTAATTCATCGACTGAATGCCAAAACATAATTGTTCTTGATAAAAATAGTGAAGAGGTAAAAATACATTAATATGTATATTTAATACTAGGTTGTTCAAATATTTATGAGACTGATTTTTTTTAAAGTAGTATAAAAATATTTATTTAGAAATATTATACCTACACTATTTTACATATTCTCCCTGGAGTTCGAGACATTTTTCTGGAAGTTTTTTTATACCCATTTCGAAGAAGGTTTTTGGTTGAATATCTAGTTTTGCACGCGTTTTCGACGCGTTCAAGTCCTTGTAAACAATCTAGTATTTATATTTAACATTGCATGACATATAATTTTCATATATACATTTTTGTTTTGTTTAAGGAACATCGAAATTCAAATGAAATTTTTGATATTAGATCCTGGGTCGAAAGACACGACAAAGAATCTAAAAGAAATCCATCGCTAATTAGTATTTTAGAATCAGGTGTAGTTAAGCCCGTGGAGAGGCAGGAACTCGTCAGAATTTGTTGTGCAGGCTTGATAAAAATTAATAATGACAGCTTGTAAGTAATGATGTTTTTTTTGTATGAGCATTATTTATGTAATTCTATATAATTAATAACATTTATTTTTGTTATTAAAGATATCCATCAAATAGATTAAAAACGGATTTAGCTAGCCAAATAGTTACACAGTTCCCAAAACTTAGTTCAACTCTCTCTGGAAATGGCTACGTAAGCAGATAATTTGCTTTAATACTAAAAAAAAACTTATATTACATTCAATATTGCTTTCAGGAGCATTTTTATGACAGTAAAACAAATCAGGGCTTTATTGAATTTCGTTTAAAAACTATGAGAAAGCGTTTAAGTCCGTCTAAGAAAAAGAGAACAGCGTCCAAAGAGTTAAAAAAACAACAACAGAAGTCGTTAAAAGAAGGAACTCTACAGAATGAATATCTGGAAGATTTATTTCAATTAAAAGTAAACATAATACAATTGTACATAATGGTGAAACAGTGTTTTAGATTAGTTATAATTATCGCTTGTTGTAGGTTGCTGAACTTTCTTTAAAAATGCCAAATAATACAAACAAAGCTGATATATTTAGATTAACCGATGAAACAAGATGTAATCGACAAAGACAAGTGAAAAATTCTGATGAAGAACTAACACTGAGTAATATTTTACAAATGTATCCACGTTTTAAAGATTACAATGGCGAATTGGTAAGATAGTACTTCGTTTTATTTTCCTTTTTAAGTATGTTATATAAAAATGTTTTTTTTTCATTAATATTACAGATCCAGAGAGAATTCCTAGCCGAATTTCCAGATAATGATACATTTTTGGCAAAATTTGTAAGCTTCTATGTACCGAGAATTTTACAGTATTCTTCCATAAATGCACCTTTCATTGCAGACTCGGGTGCGACAGATCATATTGTAAATAAGAATATAGTTCTGTCAAATTTTGAAAAATGTAAAAATAAAGTCATTAAATGCGCGAATAAAAACGAGCTTGCAGACATTTCAATAGATGGTAAAGGAGATCTTTTGTTAACAGTAAATGAACGAGAAAAGAGAGTCATTAAATTAACAAATGTAATTGTAACAAAGGATGTATCCGAAAATTTATTATCTTTAAGAAAGCTGGCTGATGCGGGGTTCAGTATTTACTTAGATGACAAACTACTAAAAGTTTATAATAAACTGACAAATAAAATAGTTCTTAAGGGAATTTATGAGAAACCAAATTGGATTATACAATTTGAGGTTAAAAATAATAATGTAGAGGACAATGACAATGTAGAATGTGTTGTGTACATAGCTTCATTACCAGCAGTTGTGATGACTCCTTTGGTCGTTCTTGATCGAGAGCTTCGACCAGTGGGTGTCACATTTATTTATGGGTCTCAGATTTCATTTAAAAAGCTCGATATTTTTACATATCGATCTTTTTAAATGCGTATTAGAATTTATTGACAACGTGCATTTCGATGCACCAAACTTGCGTGTATAAGCGTTTGCGCGTCGAATGACGATGTAAATCGAGATAATTTGACAGTATGTACTGGAACGTTCTCGATCAAGCCTTCGACTACTGGGTGCTGGGACTGCCCTCGAAAGAGGACAGAGTCCGCAGTAGTCGATGTTAGATCGAGATAATTCGGCAGTGGGTGTCGCAACGTTCTTAATTCAGCTTCGACCAGTGGGTTTCACATATATTTATAAGTCTCAGATTTCATTTAAAATGCTCAATATTTTTACATTTATATGCGAAGCGGTATTTTTATGAATGCATTGATTTTATTTTGTCAACAATTGTATAATCTATCTGTAAAGGTAAATAAATTCAACTTTATTATAGAATGTACATAGGCCCGGTTTCACCAACGCGAGTTAATCTAATCGGTCGGTTAACTTAACAGGGTGCCAACATAAAACTTCTTTATTAACCAAGAAGATGTCTTCAAGATATCTTTTAGACATCTTTTAGATATCTGAAAGTGGTACATAAGATGTCTTAAAGATATCTTCAAGATGTCTTCAGATTTCTAAAAGACATCTTAAACATAACTTAAAATGTTGCATAAGACATCTTTTAGATCCCTAAAAGACTTCTTTTCGGAAAAAATGGAAGACATCTCAAGACATAGCAAGATATCTTTTAGAAATCTAAAAGACATCTTTTTGTCTATATGGGGTATAGATGTAGAGCAGATATAGTTTCACATTGTGAGCTTCCTGAACAATCGCAAGCAAACATTCAGAACAATGAATTATCCATTTCGGAGGGAGAATTAGAAAAGAAGGATAATGTTGGCTCTGCGATTGGGAGGGAGAATGAAAGAGAGCTCACGAATGTGAGCGAAGATACAGAACATAACAATACTGAACTCGAGCAGGTCATTAAGTTAGAGGATATACAAACGATAGAGAATATAGAAGAAATGTTTGAAAGCTCAGTAACGGAAATAGCAAAGAAATTAGAGAAAATAAATGAGGCAATGTTATGGCATGTTAGATTAGGTCATGCGTCGTTAAACTATTTAAGGCAATTACAAAAAGTGGAAAAGAGATTAGAGAAATTTGATAACTCTATATTAGAGTGTGAAGTCTGTATAATGGCAAAGATGGCAAAACTGCCATTTAAAGAAAATAGAATTAGAGCACAGAGACCATTACAGACAATACATACGGACATTATGGGTCCAATAAAACCTGTATCTTATCCAGGAAGAAAGAGGTTTATAATCACCTTTATAGATGACTACTCTAGATTAGCAGAAGCCTACTCTTTGAAGACAAAAGATGAATCGGGAGAGGCCCTAAAGAAATATTTAATATCTGCCAGAAAATTAGGAAAAGAAGAAAAGTTGTGCTACGTGAAGTCAGATCAAGGCAAAGAATTCACGGGAGGCGCATTTAGAGAGGTGCTAAAGAGAGAAAAGATAGAAGCCATCTTTGCACCACCGTACACTCCGGAACACAATGGAGTTGCAGAAAGGTTCAACAGAACGCTGTAAGAAAAAGTCAGAACATATATGTTCGACTCGGGATTACCAAAGAGTATGTGGGAGCTGGCAGTTGACGCTGCTGTGCATGCGTACAACAGATCTCCACACAAAACTGTAGAGTACGAGATCTCGCTGAAGAAGTTCTCATCAGAGACGAATTGTCATTTTGAGCAAATAAAGAGATTCGGATGCATTGGGTATGCAAGAGTACCGAAGCCTACGTCAAAATTTGATAAGAGAGCTATTAGAGGTGTGTTGGTGGGATATACTAACACTGGCTATATACTCTGGCATCCAAGCACAAGAAAGTTTATAGAGTCCCGACACATCCGATTCAATAAAAAAGTAACATATAAAGACGTATATAAAAATAATCAATTAGAAGAAGAAAAAGACTCAAATAAAAATTGGATGACAGAATTCGTAGAAGGATGAGGAAAAGGGAAAACAAGAACTAGAGATCCCTGAGAAAAAGAGAAGAGGAAGACCAAGAAAACAATCGAAGCAACTAGATGTACAGAAGCAGGAGGTCAAACGAAAAGAAAGTGAAACTCCAATGACTAAAAGTAGAACCAAAAGAAAACTAGAAGATAATGAAAATACTAATGTTCGGAGAACAATAGAGGATACTAGTTATGCTGATTACACTACTGTGAAAGGTATCCAGCAGAACGCAGAGAATAGAGATGAATTGAGTCGATGTCTTCTGGCATCACTACATAAAGAGCCCTCGACATATGAAGAAGCTATGAAGAGCGGCGAAAGAGAAAACTGGAGAAACGCTGTGATAGAAGAACTTGAGTCTATGGAGACAAATCAAGTATGGACGTTTGTTGACAGACCGACTAAGATGTTGAATGGTAAATCAGCTAACATAATACCATAGATTCAAGATGGGTATTTAAGAGAAAGTTAGAAGCAGATGGATCAACCAGATATAAAGCGAGACTGGTGACAAGAGGATGCAAAGACAGAAATGTGTATGATCTGAAAGAGACATATGCACCGGTTTCGAGATTGTCGCTGGTCAGATCTGTACTGGTAATAATAAACAAGTATAATTTATACACCTGTCAATTAGATGTAAAGACTGCATTTCTGAATGGAATTTTAGAAGAAGAGATATATATGGAAATTCCAGACGGAGTAGACGTAAATGAAAACATCAAGAAGACCAAGGTGTGTAAACTAAATAGAGCTTTATACGGATTAAAGATAAGCCCAAAAAGATGGAATAAGAGATTTTCAGAAGAGGCCAAGAAACTCGGATTGGAGAATGATCTGCATGAACCATGTCTGTTCACGTGGAGGAAAGAAGGCAAAGTAGTGATCGTACTACTTTATGTAGACGATATGTTGGTTGCGAGTAATGACCAGGAGAAATTGGAGGAAATTAAAAAGAAGTTGAGTGAAATATTTGAGACAAAGGATCTTGAAGAACCCAAGAACTTTCTGGGAATAACAATAGAGCGAAACAAAGAAGAAAGATATATGTACATTCATCAGATGCGATACACTGAGAGTGTATTGGAGAAGTTCCATATGAATGAATGCAAGCCTCCAGTACTCCAGCCAGAGTACTCCAATGGTCACCAGAAAAGTGAGCAACAAAAACAAAAAGAGTACTGAAAGAGAAATCAGAAGAGTACCTTATAGAGAAGCTATAGGAAGCCTAATGTATTTAGCAAATGCTACACGACCTGACATAGCTTTTGCAGTGAATTACTTGGCAAGAAGACAGTTGGAACCCACGGAAGAAGATTGGCAAGATGTAAAGAGAGTCTTCCGATATCTTAAAGCAACTGTGAATCAAGGATTGACATTTACAGGGAAAACAGATAATTTAGAGTCACTGACAGACGCCAGTTTTAGAGATTGCTTTGATTCTACATCCATTGGAGGATGTATAATCAAATTGTTTGGAGATGTGATAGCATGAAGAAGTCATAAACAGACATATGTTACACTCTCTACTTGTCAAGCAGAGTATTTAGCAATGAGTGAAGCCTGTCAAGAAGTAATTTCATTAGACAAGTCGCTCAGATATGTTGTTGGAAGAACATTCTTACCTGCAACAGTCTGGTGTGACAACAGAGCAGCAGGAAACTGCACTAAGAAGGATGGAAGTCACAAACTTAAAATGTTTGATGACAACTTAGAGGAAATAAAGAGAAATTTGGAAGAGAGAGAAGAAACGGGAAACAGAAAACATATGGCTGACACTCATGGAGATTTTATTAAACAGTGTGTTGATCAAGGAAAGGTGATAGTCAAATGGATTGAGACCAAAGAGAATTTGGCAGACATTATGACGAAACCTTTACCTTTAGAAGCATTTACATATCTAAGAAGTAACATAATGAATATAGAGTTAAATAAAGTTAGAGATTAATTTTACTTGAAAAACTGATTATTGTTGTGTTTCAGATAAAGAAGAATCTTAGAGAGGAGTCACAAGCCGCTCGCACAAAGGGAGGGAGTGTTGCGGAAAAGGCTTTGGGCGAGCGATGTGCTCCCGCCCTCAGAGGGCAGCTCACGTACAGCAGAGCTACTACTGGCGCGCCGCGTACGTGTGCGTGGCGCTGCGTGGTGTCGAGTCAGTCCGACCATGGTGTAAAGATACAAGGTGAAGCAATCTGGTGGATGCGCAGTGTCAACCAATCAGAAGTGACCGAAACTGCTGAGTCGTCAAAATGCCGATTTGCTTCGTAAAAAATTGTAAAAATCGGACGGGTGTTCTTTTCCAAAAAAAAGTAAAATTTTTTTCATTTCCCAAAGATCCGGATTTAAAAATAAAATGGTTAGAGGCTTGCCAAAGAGATAAAGATCATAAGATTAAACATGGTATGTAATGAAATTACAGTTCTAACCTGTACAATATATTGATACATAAATGTTATAATGCTATATTTTGTATATAAATTACTTTTAGAAAGTGTCTGTGAAGTACATTTTTTATTAAATTCTTTCGAAGAAAGAATGATGAAAGGAGTTGTGCCAAAACTAAAACGTACATTGAAAGCAGAATCTGTACCTACAGAATTGCTTCAGTTGCCAAAAAAAAGGCAGAAAAGAATTTACAGAAATCAAGCCAGGAACACTGACAATACAGAATCTTCTGAGAAATCAGTTCGGTAAGAATAAATAATCTCTCAATAATCTCTCCGAGTCCGATCTTACAGGCTCTATCCATAATGTATGTAAAATAAATAGATATAATTATAATAAATAGATATATTGTAAAATATTATAGATATAAAGATATATATA